AGAGAGAGAGAGAGAGAGAGAGAGAGAGAGAGAGAGAGAGAGAGAGAATGCCTGCACTGAGAAGAGAAGAGGAGAAGAGAGGAGAGGAGAGGAGAGGAGAGGAGAGGAGAGGAGAGGAGAGGAGAGGAGAGGAGAGGAGGAGGAGGAGGAGGAGGAGAAGGAAGAAGAAGAAGAAGAAGAAGAAGAAGAAGAAGAAGAAGAAGAAGAAGAAGAAGAAGAAAAAGAAGAGGAGAAGGAGAAGAGAGACCAAAATATCTGGATTACATAGGGAAGAACCTCTGGGGGAAGGGCAGCCCAGCCCTTGGGCTGGAAAGTTCAGGGTTGGGGATAGGGTATGCCAGGTAGGGATTGAGGGATGCTGAAAAAACCTGGAGGTCAGATCTGCTTTGATATGTAAATATGCACCTCAGTCCCTCTCCTGGATCTGAGGATCTGAAACCAAACAGTATGGTGGACTATGGTTGAAACATATAATGTTGCTGTGTTGTAAGGAGAGGCAGGTTCTAGGACCTTCTATGTCATTTTCCTTGGTATTTTGCTTCAGAATTGGTAAGCTGAAGCCTGTGACTGAATCACTGAGGAAATTTTAGTTACTTTGGAAATAGGGTGCTTTTGTTTTTGGCAAATGATTTCTGAACTTGTACAACCTCCTTTTGGTGTCAGGGGAGACTTCTCCGTCTGATACAAGGTCTGGAGATGTAACTTGATTGAATAGTCTTCAGAAAGTGAGAGCCTGAAAGCTGTAACGCTCTGTTATTGCTTAATTCCACTACGGTAGTTCTGCTCACCTTGAGGGGTTCCTCATCTGTTCTTTGCATTAATATTTCCTAGAGAATGTTGAGACAACCACAGTGCTTTACTAGATTTCCAAATATCCTGAACTAGTGGGTCAATAATGGGACCCAAGCAGAAGTTAAAAACTCAACTTAGTCCTGGTTTGTTAATTGCTGAGTTAAAAGCACTGACCTGATTCTCACACATAGTATTAATTTCTAAGCCTCAGCTCCTTTTCCTAATCCTCTCTGTGTGTCAGTCAAGAAGGGATTTTTACCCATGTACTTGGTGCTCACCTCTACAGAAGTCTAATGTTACAGAAGCCTTGCTCTAGTCAAGGAGACTCAACCATCTTCCTTGGAAAAGGGCCTGGGAGCCACTTGTGGTTCTGGACACTTCTTGCGCTGTAGGAAACACTAAAGAGATTTCTGGGAAACGATCTCTAGGAGTGAGATGCACCATCTGAAAGCCAGGATAATGAGAAGGTGACCTGAAGGTAGAAGGGAGAGGTAGCCTGATCAGAGACACCAGCTCTCGATGAAGGGCTGCGCTTTACACAGGTGGCTCACCTGTGTAAACAAAGAAAGAAATAGTGGGTGAGGTTAAGAGAAATGCCAGTTCAGGTTCCGTTAATTCTGTAGTTTAGTTTTCAGCTGTACTTAGCATGGCCGTAGGTAGTACCATCCACAGACCCATAGATCTGGCTACCTCACCCTCCCCTGCACTGGGATCGTGAATACTATCGTATCTAGGTTTGTTTTTGTTTTTGATGTGTGTTCTGAAAATGACATTCAAGTCTTCTTGCTTGCAAGGCATCTGAGCTCATCTCTCCAGCCCCATCATCAGATACTGTTTTAATAGAAAAAAAAAAAACAGTGCTTGCTATGGCAGCACATATACTAAAATTAGAATGAAACAGAATAAAACAAAAATCATGCCTATTAAGTTGAAAAGTGCATAAGTCTTTAAATAAAATACTATGATAAATAAAATACTACGGACATTTAAAGCAGCATGCACAGGACAGATTACAGGTTTAGATAATGCTAGTTAAGCACACATGTTGAAGTCAGGAAGATCAACAACTGTCACAGGAAGGTTTTTAGTTCTTTGTAAACATATGACACCCAGGAAAATTTGCGTGACTTTAAACTGAAGGGTCAGGCTGTCACTGGGTGAGAAATGGGACGTAAGCTTGCATGGGGTCCCAGGGACATACCACTGTAATTCAACAAATCCTTCAGAGATTGGTTCATCCCTCAAATGATAATATATAGAAGTAAGTCTTGGAGCTTCCCCTAAGACCAGAATAGCCTGAGCCCCGTGGTTCTTTGAAACATACACAGAAAACATGTTTCATTTTTCTTCCCTTAACTCTTTAATTTAAATACAAACTAATTTGTGACCCAGGGAAACCTGAATGGGTTTCAACTTTAAACTTACCAACAGAAAAAGATTTAAGATGTCATTGTCTTGGAATAGACCAATTATTGTCAGAGGGGATTCATGACCTTTGTAAATATTTTACCTCATTATGTGAAATGATCGAATTTAAACAATCCTTGAAGCACTCAATGAGAATTATTTTGGGTAGAATTTTGCAGTTTGCTCCAAGAAAGGCAAGGTGCAATACTGACACAGTCTGGGGAGTGAGGTGGGTTGGGGTAGGGTCGGGGGTCTCTATAGAGTTCCCTTTCTCTGCCTGTTAACAAATTAAAAGGCATGGAAAATCTCCGGTGCAACAGGTAGCCCCTGAGAAATCTCAGCCATCACAAACAGCTGCAGTCAGAATCAGAAGGTGAAGACAGGCTGTTACTGCAGGGTGAGGATTCAGTCATGTGCAGCAGACACACAGAGAAAAACTCTAGACAAAACAGTCCCAGATGGGGAAGCCAAAAATCCAGCCTTTTCTCAATGTCTGGGTCCTTTCTTTCTTTCTTTCTTTCTTTCTTTCTTTCTTTCTTTCTTTCTTTCTCTCTCTCTCTCTCTCTCTCTCTCTCTCTCTCTTTCTTTCTTTCTTTCTCTTTTCTTTTTCTTTTTTTTCTTTTAGTTTTTGAAGTGTTTCCCTTTCCTAACTAAGGATTCGTCAGTTTGAAGATAGTTAATTGGCCCACAACTGTTGTGTGACAAGTCTCAATTCTGGCCTTGAACTTGTTGAGCCAGGCCACAGCAGAGAGGTGGACAAAAGCCTACAGCGCTTTCCTTAAAGCTGTCAGGCTTTTGTCTCAGGTCAGGAAGGTGAGGAAGAAGTCAGCCATCTTGGAAGT